TCTCATAGAAAATATTTTGTTGTTCTCCCTTTGGGAACCTATCCTTAAGTTACACTAAGGCCGATCTTATGATATCACAAGCCCCAAAACGCACTCCTATATATATCATCTTGATGAACAAAACAATATCGAATCACAATACATATCTTATACAAATACAAAGTTAAAAGACAATTATTTCTAAAAAATTTCTATTACTTTTAATTGTTAAATGAACAGGAATCATTTTCATTTTACAACCACATAACGAACACAGTAGAGGATCAAGAAGTCAATCAATGTTATATACACTATTTTTATTTAACTACAGTTAACTGAAATAGGGGATAAGATTTACAACTCAAGAATATGATCTTATTTCAATTGTGTCCTACAAGGTAGGTGGTCTCATAGTGAAGATTTGATTACCTTTCTATAAGACATCACTAATCCAGTGCTTTCAGGTTTTCCATGGTGGTCTAACTTCAACTGACTCATGAATTCAACTCTTAAGATCACTCTTTAGTCAATAAAATTATGCTTTGACAATCAAATTTAATTCTTACCTGTTATTTGAAGAAAACGCCAAAAACAAAAAATTGATGAACAGTTATGTGTAACGAAAATCATCTAATTTCTCATAATCGAAATATGAACTAGATTTAGACCAACTGACATTTAGCAGAATCAAAATCAATGGTTTATATTTAGAGATATAAGCTAAGCGATTACATATATTAGTTTAACCAACTAGATTATCCCATATTTAATATATATAAGAAGAAAGAAGTTGGCTAACAACAGCTAAAATTAATGTATATTCTTTAATGTAAATGAGTCGAAAATGTTTCTAAACTGCATGTGAAAATGCGGATTACAATTGTTTACCTTATATACCCATTATGAAAACGCATACTGTTATAATAGATATGATATGAATAGTTCTTTAATTACTATGATGTATTGAATATATGTGGAAATGTTGATGTTACTGTGTTAATAATAAAAAGCCTTTCTAAATGATAATACTAAATTGTGCATAGCTTAATGTAATTTCATTCCTTTTCTTTGTATAAATTTATAACATGATAAAGAAAGTAAATTCATCATAGAAAAGTAGATAATAGTGTATTGAATGAGAATACAAGTGGGGACAATCGAATAAATTTGAATGCAAAATTACAGAATCTCTTAGTAAACTCTGAGAATCATACAGTAAATACTTCATTTGTAAAATGTTAATCATTTGTCTCAAACTTGACTATTCATTTAGCAGATGTTGATCAATCGTCTCAGACTTCATTGTTCTTTCGTTTTCATAACCGATCATTCTTTGTTCTCGTTTGCTTTTATTCTATCTTCCTGACGTTTTTCCCCCAGACATTTTACTTTCGACTGGTGATACATACTACTTATATCTTTCGACATCAGTAGTGAACACTATAATAATACTTAATTTTTAAATAAGATCTCCATTAGTTACTTTCATATAACTTCACTTATGTCTTATCTCCTATTCAACAATAAAGAAATTAAAAAAGAAATGCGCCCCTAGTAGAAGTCTATTGTAACCCAACTCATATTTAGTTTCTGTATTACTCAAATAGAAACGAATCAAACTATATTCAGAGACTTAGCCTGTTGGATATAATATATACGAACCTATAAGGTTGATTATGTTTGAAATGAGAAACAGATTTAGGAATGATAGATTCTTATGATGGATTATATCTAATAATTTATAAATAAGATCATCTTGGAAAGTTTAATTAAAAGTTAAGTACTATGTTAAAACTTTCTCTATACAAAACAGAGAGCAATGAATCTAATAATTAATATGAATCAATTTTTGTATTCAACTCTGGACATATGACATATGACATGTCATGATATCAGTATAGCCTAGTTAAGTGATTACATCTATTTGATGAAGTCGATTTTGTTTAAGTTATGCCCAAAATGTAATCTATTCAGTTTTAATGATTGAAAAGTTTAATATGATATCAGAAAATTGAACAGAAATATATTTATTATACAGAATAAACAAACAGTAAAGTAAACAGGTTATTAAAAATCATAAATACAAAACAAATTGATATGTTGATAAGCTTCGAAAGCATCTTTCTTGACATTTGAATAACAGTTGAACAAGTTATAGAAATTTTTAAGTAAAAAAATTACTATTTAAGCAAAGATGGATAGTGGCTAACAGTGTAATCCAAGACTCGCGTTACGTTCCATTTGACACTGGTCAACTGAATGTACCTGCATACACATATGCCAAAAAGAGACTGACCGATTGTAGTCCTAAATAATAATGGGAAGATAAAAGTAAACAACACCAAGTGAATTTAAACTTCCCCATATTGCACAAACAGGTAGCTATCAGGACTTAGTAGCTAAGTGGATAACACGATAGTGTTTGAAGCGAACAGTACTCGATTCAAATCTCGGTGTGAACATCAACTATGGGATACAGGTACATCCAGTTGACGAGTCCCTAGTAGGACGAAACGCGTATCCATTGCTAGCTACTATCGATCTTTGCTTAAAAAGATTATGACTTAAGGCTATATCGAGGCAATCCGCACAGGATGAACATATGCAAGCATGAGACTGATCAGTTGCAGTCCTAAATAACAATTGGAAGATACAGGTAAAACAACACCAAGTGAATTTAATAAATTACTATTTCGTATTCTTTTTTTCCAGTAACTTAAATTTTGTTTTTCATTGGATTTTTCACCCAATCCCTTCACTAAGGAGTTATTAAATCAAAGTTGAATTTAAGATAATTCACTTCAAAAGAAAATGCGGTCATAAGTCTACGTGCAGTGACCATTTCACATTTCGACTTTTTTTGTCTTGTTTCAGTCTGTAATACATGTACTGGAGTTTAGAATGAATGAATTAACAATTTTTCTGTCAACTCGATTTGTTTTTGGATTGATATGATTGTTATAATTTACGACCTTGCGTCCTATTAATATATAACGTAACGATACCGCCAATTAGAGAACAGTAACTTATCGACCGGACCAATGACGTATAAACCCGTACGAGAAGTCTCTAGTCTTCATCGATTCTTCTCCCTTCCTAGCCCTACCTGTTAAGTCCAGAATACAAATCTCAGCCTCTGCGATATGAATCATGTATTTTAAAAATACTGGGATTATATACAAATCAAACAGAACACATTGCACCGTAAGATAGACAATAACATTTGTACAAGTTCTAGCCCAAAGTGACTGTGAATGTGGGAAACTGTACTAAATAAACTGGGTATAACTTAAGAATGGTAAATCATATAATAATAGTTTATAAGTCGAAATAAAGCTTATAATAAGAGGAATGTGAATATATATAGTTTGGTTACTAAACAATTACACAATAAAAAATATATGCATAGTACTAGTCCCAAAATAGATCCCGGTAGTTACCATTCATTATTGTCATCGGGATATAACAAAGATAAGATTGGAACTTGTGATATGATTGTAATAAAATTCCACTTGGAAATCTACAAAGGAATAGTATTTAATTTGAAAAATTGTACTGGTTTATTGTTCATGATTTTTCCTATTATTTATTATAAGTAGTCAGTTTTACTTATATGGATAATTTACATATGAAAAGTTATTTTGTTCTTTGATGCTTCTCAGTTCAGTTCTTTGTTAAGTTTCTAAATGTCAACATGACACAAAACTGAAGGCCCTGGGTTCGAACCCTGCGAACAAGATCGTGGATACGCACTGCTGAGGAGTCCCGAAATAGGATGAAACGGCCGTTCAATGCTTCCAGGTTTCCAACGGTGGTCTAACATCAATCGGTTCACGATACCAATCAAAAAACTTAATAATCTCCACAATTCCAATACTAGTACACGTTATTTTTGTTAGTAAGGGGGTGGAAGTCTCTGTTTCCTTCCAGAAAGGTAGGAACATAGTTAAAAATAGATTTATTTCAAAAATCTTCTAGTTACAAATATGATTGGATTTAGATATATTTTGATTTTATGTCATACTTATCTATGTATATGATTTATACATTCAACTAATAAAGGCATTTATACTTATTTATCTGACTTGAATTTCGAATGGTTTATCAATTATGTAACAGAAATTATGACAGAATTAATAGATATATCGTTAATCTAGTAGATTAGATTAGACTATAAAACTTTTCATACTTGAACATTGTTGTTTCTTTTCCATTTAGATTTCCATAATTCATAGTTGTAAAGGAAATGATATAACGAAACTAAATAAAATATACGCACTGCTGAGGAGTCCTACAATAGGACGAAACAGGCGTCCAGTGCTTCCAGGTTTACCATAGTGATCTAGATTCAACTGACTCATAATCTCAACCATTGACAATATACATTGTTAACAGATGCTCTATATTTTTTTGTTATTTTAGTACCAAACAAAAGTTTTGATATTTTGTCACTGATTCATTATTGTCTAGAATAAGAAAATAGATTATTGTTTGTTATCTAAATTTTTCATTCTAATTACCTAATTTAAATCTATGCAAATCACTTTACTAAGTAGAATGCAACATTATAATCGTTTGTTTTTTTCTTTTTCAGAAAATACAATAAATAATCTTCTTGGAAGTTAACTACTGTCAACGAATTCTAGACAACTGTCTTTTAAATATCAAAATTCTTTTTAACTAGATTACGAAATTTCAACCTTACCCTTTTCTTAAATTTCACTGTTTCGATGACTTCACTCTCATTTTTGTTGTTGCTGTCGTTGTTATTGTTGTTAGTAACATCATCAATTTCCCAGTTCAGTGAACTTATTAATAAAGACTTTTACAGACATGATCGATTACTTTTTATTGATTTGGTCGGAACTTTGTAAAACAAAACAACAACAAAAAAAGAGGAATGGGATATTGGTCTAATGACCAAATGAATGACTGGACATATTTGTATTAGCACACAATAATAACACAATAAATGTGTATAATTCTATAGTGAATAAGGAAGAAATGTAAGTGAACCAATCAAAAGTTATTACTAAATGAAGCAGGGCTGAAATAGGAAATCTCAACAAATAATATACACAGTTATAATAATATGATAAAGTAATTCCATGTTTATAATATTACAAAATTTATAAAATGGATAATAAAACAATATTTGATTGTAATATATAGGAGGGAAGTTTTTGGAAGCACATCCTAATCATTATATAACAAAATAGAATTCAATTTAAACAAAGAATTTTCATATTTATTCTGTGTATACGAATTATACGAATTACTTTGATTCATTCATCAAAACTATCATCGTTTCGGTAAGTCTTGGATAATTGTTATGATAAGGTTACATTTGGGATTGATTTGTTAAAAAATAACTTAGTGAAGGTGTTCAATGTTTATAGTAAAACTAGTAAGCAAAATATTTCATTTTCTGTTGATGATTCATTAAACATTTACATTTGGTAATTCCTTGTTTGAAAAATGTTACTAAGGTTCTTACAGACAGTTATATATTTCTCTTTCATTCAATAATTGATATCATCTTGATTACTTGAACTGATACATCTGATTTAGGATTCAATAGTGTAATCTAATTTAAAGTATTTAGTCTATTATACATATTTCGATAGAGCAATGAGAAGATGGAGTTGATCTCAGGAAAAATGTGATGTATTTGTATCATACATTTTGAACAATACATTTACATTTTCTTTTAGATCAACTTCATCTTCTCATTGCTCTATCGAAATTTGTAACCTATTTATTGAAAATTGAATTGTTATGGTTATACAGTCACTGTCATGCAAGATAATGTCTAAACTGATGTTTAACTCACCATTAGTGTAGAATAAATTTCATACAATAATTTGATTATATGAGTTATTCATAACAAGCAAACTGTAAAACAAAAGATTGATCAATTGTAGTCCTAAATAATAATGGGAAAGTACAAGTAAACAACGCTAAGTGAATCTAAACTTCTCCACATTGCACGAACAGATGGCTATCAGGACTTAGCAGTTAAGTGGATAACACGATAGTGTTTGAAGCGAACAGTACTCGATTCAAATCTCGGTGTGAACATCAACTATGGGATACAGGTACATCCAATTGACGAATCCCGAATAGGACGAAACGCGCGTCCATTACTAGCCACTATCCATCTTTGCTTATAGAATAACAATGTTTAAGGGCTGTTCAACTGAAAAGAGCATTTGGAAATTTATACGGAATTCATGTAACTCATTTGGTATATTACGATCAAATGACAATGAAATCTTAAATTTAAGTTAAAAATTTAATACATTAACTGCTTATGAGTATTTGTTTATTTTGTTCAATGGGTAATTCAAGTTTTTACTAATCAAGGTGTAACCTATATTTACGATAATTGATGGTTTCTATGGGTGTCTTGTAACCATATTTATAATATATTTATTTATGACAATTGTCAAATATTTAACCCGTAAGTCAATTCTTTCTAGAGGGGAGGAAATCTATAGATCTCTCATTTTAAGTTACTTCCTTTCGAATAAAGCCAGTACTTCCACGGGAAAATTCTATTTCGATTAGAATGGCTAACCTAATGAGGAATGTCTCAAAGAATGATACAGATAGATGATTATGAAAGCATATGTTGTTAATAATGCTTTAAATGTCTAGACATATAGCATATTATGCATTGGATTATAACTATGTATATAAGTGTTTCGACTGATAACATGGTTCAGCATTGATCACGGTGATGCAATTGTAGTGTCACCTTTTGTTTTCTCCTCAATCTTGTTCAATCTTACATTATAATTTTGAATCCAACTAGTTAACTTCAGTTGCCTAGCAGAAAATGTTAAATAACAGCTTTTCTTGTAAGACGCTATAAAGGACATTTGTAAATATGAATGATCTAGGCACTTAATTCCCCGTAAACAAATGCATTCATGAATATTTTGTTTACGAATGTATCGTGAAATACAAACTATCTAACCAAATTCCTGACACTTACAATCTTGAACAACTAAATAAAGAACCAAGTTATGAGAAATACTTCAAGTTTATTTCATATAAGATAAAACTAGTTATTTTCTAAGGCTGTTAGCAACATTGAAAAATGAATATGTTTCTAAGATGAAGAAGAAAAAATATATACATAACTTGGTAACTAACATATCGTTTAATCAATATGGTTAGGGTAGGTAGAAATATTTAGTTTCTAGATTCTTTTTTGAATGAGTCATTTATTAATATACCATTTGGTTACATTTAATTTTATGTACATGTTTATACTTTGTAAAGAATTTGTGTAATGAATATTGATTTCATCAAATTGTAATTTATCTTTCCACATTTGGAGTTTATACACAGGAAGAGAAGATTTTGAATAAATGATAAGAATTATAGATGTACATTGAAATAGTAGACGAATGTGATTTATTAGATTCCACTAAGTTTGATAGTAAAAAATAAATGATCTAGAGATTAAATGAATCATTGAGGAGGAAAACAACATTTAAATTAATGTATAATAAGCGTGTTGTGATCGGTATTCAACATCATCTTTAAACGTTGTATTCATGTTCATCCTGATAACCGTCATTAGATAAATGCCCCAACGGTGTATTAATCAGAAGGCTGTGTGTTCGAATCACATCGGGCTTACCAATACTGTTGTGGTCGGTATTCAGTACAATCCTTAAACGTCGTATACAGTTCATCCTGATAACCATCATTAGATAATGCCCCAACGGTGTATAAACCAGAAGTCGAATACAAAGTGTTGATCAAGTTTATTATTGAATCATGCACAGATCATCAAAATTACAGGTACGCTAAGCAAGCATGAAAGAGTAGTGCCGAAAAGCAAACGGGCAAGCGAGTGAGTGTGCGAGTCGAATGAGCGAGTCAATGAACAGAATTATAATATACATATACATACATAGTGGAATGGATGAATCATCGATTCAATTAAGCGACTAATATTAAGGCTAGCAGAATGAATATATGCATAGGCAGTAAGCAATGCTCAAGTATACATATTCATACAAGTGCAACAATAATAAAGGTATAATGGTATAGAAAAGTTGTTATTGTACGAATGACTATCCGTTAAATAATTTAACAAAAGAGCTTAACCAAATTAAATGTGAACAAACTCAATTGCACGTGAACTGTTATAAGCGTCAAAACTACAAGGGTTTTTCAACAAAGTAAATATTTCTTTTATTAATGAAAGAGTATCCAAGGTCTATTCAGTAATCAGAGAAGGGGTTCTGTGGAGATTGTAGTAATTTAATAATTAAATTCATGAGTCCATTGAAGCTAGACCACCATGGAAAGTCTGGAAACACTGAACAGCCGTTTCAGCTTAGTATGGGACTCCTTAGCAGTGCGCATCCACGATCCCACCTCGCGAGATCCGAACATACGACCTATCAGTCTCGCGTGCGAACGCTTAATCTTTAAACCACTGAGCTGGCGTCCAACAGTGTTAATGTCAAACTACAACCAATTCAATAACTTAATAAAACTTTCTTGATATATATATGGTCAATATTTTACACAGATTCACAAAATGCATTTTGAAAGATAAAATTATATAAAGAACAACTGTTCAAGTGCACTTTAACATACATTTTTACTTTACAAATTTATCTAAATGTCTGGTTTTTTTATAAATAAGGTGAAAAAATCTTTGTACATCAGTCACTACGTATATGCTAACATGTTCATAACATATTACTATATGCTATTGTACTATTAATGTTAACATTTGATTGATAAGACTTCATCTTATGAAAAAGTGAACATGATTATGATCGATAACCAAATTATGATCCGATTTTAATAATAATATTAATCGATCATGTTCATATTCTGTGATGAATAGTCTGTATAAACATTTTGCTTGTACGGATATCGTTAATCCGAAGGATAACATGGGTATATTAATGGTTGAGAATTTCTTATTGATAACAATTCTGTTGACTTGTAAACGGAACTTCAAAGTCAAACGACAACTGTTTTGAAGTTATCAAAACAGAATTCTGTTATGTTGTTTGTGTATTTTTGAAAAACTATTCTTGGCACCAAAATTCAATCGAGGATGGTGGAATGTACTTTTGATCTCAGTGCTATCAATAGACAACGGCGTATTAATTGTTCTCTGAATAAGTTTTCAAGCTAGTATATTTCAATTTAGTCATAAAGATAACCAAGTTTGAACACTCAGTCAATCAGTCAAAAACGTAGAACTTCTTACATACGTACATAAGTTCAAGTTGCCATACCACATTAGCACAGAAATCCAGTTTTCGATTCAAATCCCATTGTGGTAGAGGTAGTAAAAGTATCAGCAGTAATCGGAAAGATTAGGGTTTGAAGATGTCATTCAAGGAGTATAATCCAGCGACATAAATTTGGAAAGAGAAAAAAAGTGACAGGGAGGATTCAGAAGATTAGAATTCGGGAGAACACAAAGAGTGGACGCACCTGCTCCATTGCAAATGATTTTAAGCCATGTCATTCAGGGTCTCTAACCATCGGTTGCTGTCATCTCTCGATCCCCAACCAGGTAGTCTACACCTACCAACATGAATCAGACCACTTGTCAGTGACTTCATGGATTTGTGCCATGTTTTGGTCTGGCCGCCCTTAGCTTTCTTCCGACCTACTCCTACAACATAAAACATCGCACGTCGAGGCAGTCGGCGGTTGGGCATACGTAACACATGTCCCAGCTTCTATGAGTACATGGTAAAGCTCTTAACTTTATATGGTAAATTAGTCTTTTCACATTCATAGTTTGACTTTGTTTATTATTGTAACTAAATATCTTTTTTCCAGTAAGACATTTTTCCCTTAATATTTTCATAGTGTTCAAAATATAATCCATCAAAATCCGATAACGATTATCTGCCTATAGAGATAGTGTGCATATGTCTTCATTTTGATACCTTGGTTTCCCTTTTAATTTCAATACTCAGAAAAATCAATCACACATGAAAAGCGTTTAGTTAGATATTGAAAAACATTGTTGTGTTGATGGAATTGAGCATAAGTAGACAAGATAATTTACGTACGCTCGTTCTGATATGTTCACTGAAAATCATCCATTTACAAATTTCATTTCAAGTATTTCAACTTAAATTTGCTTGTCTTCAAGCAAACCTTAAGGGATGTAAAATGATAACATTAATAAAAGCTTATCAAAGAATTATCTGCATCTCAAAGATTTCACAATGAATTAATGTCCAATTTATTTAATAATTTATATTACAAGTGACTAAGTCGTAGCGTGGCTGACTGTGTCATCATCTCT